TAATAGCAGTCAGCTAATTTTAAATCCATTTACATGTTATGCCCCCTTTTGTTCCACTTTGATTTGATGTTCTTTCTGAACCTCAAAAGGAACCAGAGACACTTCTATTTTTTTTATTTGTTTATGTTCAACACATGCTCTAATTTTATGATCCTGTTACACAAGTCATCTAGACAAATACTAGGGCATAACTATAATCCTGAGCACCGAGCAATAAACACAATCTGAATAGGAATGCTCTCCATCTTCCTTTTCCCTCCTTTACTTCACTTCCTCAGAGGTTAAGCCTGTTGTGAAACATCAGTAAGTTCTGAGTGATAATTTGACAATAAGAGCAGTCTTAAGTCATCAATCAAAACCCTGTTTACGCCCTTTTCAGCAAACATATGCTGACCCAAAAATAACCTAATACTTCAGCTAAGCACACCTGGCAAAACCTAGCTGTAAAACCTAGCTCCACACTCTGTTTGATCTTGTAGTAGTCTCTAGCCCTTACTCTCAACACAAGTTTGCCAAAATGTTGCAGATGCTCAGACTAACTGCCCAAATTGCAGACCAAAGAGGACTGGCCAGGCGTTGTGAGGAACACCCTTCTACCCAGGGCTGACAAGGTCATCATCTTCCTGGCCCGCAACCTCATGGGTCTGAAACAGGAGGTAAATGATCTCAAGCCACAGATCACAGTGGTGGCCCACAAGGACCCCAGCAGAATGGAGTTACAGGAGGAAATCAATAGACTTCAAAAGGCTCTGACAGCTGCTGAACAGCAAGAGCACCTGGAAAAGGTAGCCAGAAAGGACCTGGAAAGGAAACTTTCCCACACAAAATGACTAATAAAGCAGCTAATTCTGAGCTCTTAGACAAAGTTGCCAGAACTGAGACTCTGATCCAGCAGCTGAACAACACTCATGACAAACTTGACATGGTACAAAGAGAACTCAGGTACTCTTATAGGCTGCAAAAGGAAACACAGTGGGAGAGACACCCTACTCCTGCATCCTCACTCAGCAGTGCAAACTCCCTCAGGTCCACCAAGCTACGAAGGGGGGAGCCAGCACTTTCTGCTTAATAAAGACAAAGAAATCTCTTTACAGTACATTTTAATATTATCAAAATTGCCTGTTGGAACGAAGAAATCTTCCTGCATTGCGATAAAGATTGATTTGAGCGATGTTCCTCTTATAATCTTTTAAAGGCCTTAGCTGATTGTACCGTTAGATTGAAGTCATTGCGTATTCCAATTTCATTCAACTACGATCTCACTCCTTTAGGTTTAACCATTAGAGTAGCAATCTAATGCGCGCCTAATGCAGATCTGATCATAAGAACACCGAAAGCCAGTAAACTGATTGGAATGTAAATGGGAGCTTTTAAAACCTTGATCAAGTATATCGTACGATAAGAAACTAACCTGATTTTAACGAAGAAATCCTAATTTCTGTTGTTAGTGGAGCATAGGTATTTTCTGACGACGGAATCTCAGATTAGCAGCTCATATAAATGGTACCAGAATAAATCAGTCTGATCTTGGGCGAAGAAATCCCCTTTTTCAGCACTGTGTAGGTGATCTGAGCGATGCTCCTCATTTCACTGATTTAAGGCCTTATTATGTGTTACGTATCATTGTATTTCATTTTGACTCGCTCATGTGAAACATTTACGTAAAGTTAATGGTGTTATTCTAGCGTAGCTAACTACGAATCTACCATTGCCTGTGAAGTGAATGTGCTGTTTTGATTAGTGAATGAAGTTGTATGGGACACGTCATAACTGACTGTTATGTCCCGCATGAGTTTCCCATGCATGTTCATAGCAGTGCAAGTTCTGCTCCCCTTGCACCTGATGTGAGTTTGCATTGGTCTCCTAGCAACACGTGACCCCAGAAGTGTGAGCAGACTCTTCCGGTTAATCTGACAACAGCACCCACTTCACAGACCTTTGTGTAAACA